GGAAGGCCTGATCCATGGACTGGGTACGACTCTCAGCTACTACCACCTAAAAAATGGAAGGCCTGATCCATAACTGGGTATGACTCTCAGCTACTACCACCCCACTGTGGAAGGCCTGATCCACGGACTGGGTACGGCTCTCGGCTACTACCACCCCACTATGGAGACAAATAACTGCAAGTTGTTAATATTTCTGTGGTTTTGAAGGTCATTTGGCCGTGGCGGCCATGTTGAGCTGTACAGGTAAACAGCTGCAGGTGTGCATCCCTGAAAGTTTCATTCAAATGTGAGCAGAGCTTCGTTAAATATTTTGCTAACACGGACTCCAGTGACCGCCTGTGCTCGGTGAAAGCGCTGACCTCGTTAGGACTGAACGGTCTGAATAATTCAGAGGAACTCGGTTGAGCAGAACAGAACCACTTTCAGCTGGACCCGTCCTCCTACGTTCCGGATCCTGATTGGTCCCCCCAACTGGACCCCCTCCTGGGATCATGTTGGCAAACACTGATGTGGACTGAAGGTACAGGTCGAACCCAGACACCTGAACCAGGACCTGTAGACGCCTGATCAGGACCTGTACACACCTGGACCAGGACCTGTGGACACCTGGACCAGGACCTGTAGCCTGAACTGGGCATGACTCCGGTCCTCCCGCCAACATGAACGTGCAGCTGGAGACAGGAAGTGGTTTTGTTACTCACCGGATGTGTGGAGACAGAACCAGCAGCAGCAGCGACAGAACCGCGAGTCCCGCGATCAGCACCAGCATCATGGAGGAAGGTTCGGTTCTGGTCCGGCTCAGTCTGATGCTGCTGCTGCTGATGCGCAGGCAGGACTACAGCTGACAGCGAGGGGAGCGCAAAGGTAGCGCGGTGACGTCACACCGCGAACAGGATTGTGGGGCTGTAGTTTTTATGGCTAAAGCCGAAACAGAAGTTAGTCCCACTGAGCACAAATGATGCATACAAATTAATTTATTTATTTTTAACAGTTGAAAACAAAATGATAATAATGTGATACTGATTGGTTTTTTTTTTCATTCAACCTTTATTTATTCATGTTAGTCCCATTGAGCCACGAGGACTGGTTTACAAGAGAGACCTGAATATATAGTAGACCAGGGGTCTGCAACCTTTACGATCAAAAGAGCCATTTTTCACCTTCGTTCACGACATTAAACGTGTCCGGAGCCGCAACAACCTGCTGCACCTGTGGTTATCAACTGGTGGCCCATGGGCCACTGTAGGTTTGCTGGAGGCAGCTTTTGTGGCCAGTAAAGGCAACATCGTAAAGCAAAACATATCTAATGATTTTTAAATTTTATTAAAGAAAAAGACAAGATTCTTGTAAAAGGGGACATTTTTCAGTTTTTATCATCAGTTTTTTAATTAATTAATCTATAAACTATGCAGACAGTTCTCCATATAAAGAAATAAAGTTTTACTCCTTGTACTCGCTCCAGTGTTCACATATTTGCAAAAGAAATTACAGCAAATCTGTTGGAACTCATCCTTTTTTGTTGTTTGTATAACCAATAAAATTCAGTTTTATGTCAGTTTTGGTCAAGGCTTGAAAGAGCCGCTGCAGAGGGACCAAAGAGCCGCATGTGGCTCCAGAGCCGCAGGTTGCAGACCCCTGTAATAGTACTTCATTGTCAATGTACCTAAATACAAGGACATTTGGGTTTGCTGCAGAGCAAAAGTACAAGCAGTATAATATAAAACAAACAAAATATATATAAGTATAAACTGTATTAGTGGTAATAATTACAGTTTTTAATCACATCAAATGTGCAACACAAGCAGATTGATATTACACTAGTTGTCCCTTATTGCACTTTTTCACTTTTTACAGTTTCTGTTAAGTTCACTAACGACTGACGGGTAAAAACTATTTGTAAATCTGTTTGTTCTTGATTGATCTGTACCTTTTCTGTGACGGTAACAGTTCAAACAGACCATGTCCAGAGTGAGACGTGTCCTTTAACATGTGGGTTTATATACAGTGGGGCAAAAAGTATTTAATCAGCCACTGATTGTGCAAGTTCTCCTACTTAGAAATATGAGAGAGGTCTGTAATTTTCATCACAGGTACACTTCAACTGTGAGAGACAAAATTAGGAAAATAATCCAGGAAATCACATTGTAGGATTTTAGAATAATTTATTTGTAAATTACGATGGAAAATAAGTATTTGCTCAATAACAAAAAAAGCAAGATTTCTGTAACTTCTTCTTTAAGAAGCGCTTCTGTCCTCCACTCGTTACCTGTATTAATGTTTGACCTCGATATCTGTATAAAAGACACTTGTCCACAGCCTCAAACAGTCAAGAGTCCAAACTCAGCACGGGCAAGACCAAAGAGCTGTCGAAGGACTCCAGGAAGAAAATTGTGCACCTGCACCAGGTTGGGAAGAGCGAATCTACAATAGACAGCAGGTTGTTGTGAATAAATCAACTGTGGGAACAACTGTAAGAAAATGGAAGACATGCAAGACCATTGATAATCTCCCTCGATCGGGGGCCCCACGCAAGATTTCATCCCATGGGGTCAAAATGATCATGAGGACGGTGCGCAAAAATCCCAGAACTACACGGAGGGACCTGATGAATGAGAGAGCTGGGACCAAAGTAGTAAAGGCTACACACTACGCAGAGAGGGACTCAAGTCCTGCAGTGCCAGGCGTGTCCCCTGCTTAAACCAGTACTTGTCCAGGCCCGTCTGAAGTTTGCCAGAGAGCAAATGATCCAGAAGAGGACTGGAAGGATATCATGTGGTCAGTTGAAACCAAAATACAACTGGTAAAAACTTAACTTGTTGTGTTTGGAGGAAGAAGAATGCTGAGTTGCATCCCAAGATCACCATACCTACTGTGAAGCATGGGGGTGGAAACATCATGCTTTGGGGCTGTTGTTGTGCGAGGGGAGCAGGACGACTGATCCGTGTTAAGGGAAGAATGAACGGGGCCGTGTATCATGAGATTTTAAGTCAAAACCTCCTTCCATCAGTGAGAGCATTGACGATGGAACGTGGCTGGGTCTTCCAGCATGACAACGATCCCAAACACACGGCTCGGGCAACGAAGGAGTGGCTCTGTAAAAAGCATTTCAAGGTCCTGGAGTGGCCTGACCAGTCTCCAGACCTTAACCCATAGAAAACTTGTGAAGAGAGTTTAAAGTCCGTGTTGGCCAGTGACCGCCCCAAAACATCACTGGTCTAGAGGAGACCTGCACGGAGGAATGGACCAAAACACCAAGTGTGTGCAAACCTGCTGAAGACTGAACCGTTTGACCTCTGTCATTGCCAACAAAGATTATGGTACAAAGTACTGAGATGAACTTTGATTATTGACCAAATACTTATTTTCCACCATAATTTACAAATAAATTCTTTTAAAATCCATCCATCCATCCATCCATTTTCTTCCGCTTATCCGAGGTCGGGTCGCGGGGGTAGCAGCCTAAGTAGGGAGGCCCAGACTTCCCTCTCCCCAGCCACTTGGGCCAGCTCTTCCGGGGGAATCCCAAGGCGTTCCCAGGCCAGCCGAGAAACGTAGTCCCTCCAGCGTGTCCTGGGTCTTCCCCTGGGCCTCCTTCCGGTGGGACGTGTCCGGAACACCTCACCAGGGAGGCGTCCAGAAGGCATCCTAAACAGATGCCCAAGCCACCTCAACTGGCTCCTCTCGATGTGGAGAAGCAGCGGCTCTACTCCGAGTCCCTCCCGGATGATCGAGCTTCTCACCCTGTCTCTAAGGGAGAGCCCAGACACCTTGCGGAGAAAACTCATTTCGGCCGCTTGTATCCGAGATCTCATTCTTTCGGTCACAACCCAAAGCTCGTGACCATAGATGAGGGTGGGAACGTAGATCGATCGGTAAATTGAGAGCTTCGCCTTTTGACTCAGCTCTCTCTTCACCACGACAGACCTGTACAGCGCCCGCTTCACTGCAGACGCTGCACCTATCCGCCTATCGATCTCACGCTCCATTTTTCCCTCATTCGTGAACAAGACCCCAAGATACTTGAACTCCTCCACTTGGGGTAGGACCTCCTCCCTGACCCAGAGAGAGCACTCTACCCTTTTCCGGTTCAAGACCATGGCCTCGGATTTGGAGGAACTGATCTTCATCCCGGCCGCATCGCATTCGGCTGCGAACCGCTCCAGTGAAAGCTGTAGATCACGATCTGATGAAGCCAATAAGACCACATCATCTGCAAAAAGCAGAGACGCAATTCTGAGGCCACCAAAACGGATCCCCTCAACACCTTGGCTGCGCCTAGAAATTCTGTCCATAAAAGTTATGAACAGAATCGGTGACAAAGGGCAACCTTGGCGGAGTCCAACTCTCACCGTGAACAAGCCCGACTTACTGCCGGCGATGCGGACCAGGCTCTGACACCGGTCATACAGGGACCTAACAGCCCGTATCAAAGGGCCTGGTACCCCATACTCCCAGAGTACCCCCCACAGGGCCCCCCGAGGGACGCGGTCGAAAGCCTTCTCCAAGTCCACAAAGCACATGTAGACTGGTTGGGCAAACTCCCACGCACCCTCCAGGACCCTGCTGAGAGTGTAGAGCTGGTCCAGTGTTCCACGGCCAGGACGAAAACCGCACTGTTCCTCCTGAATCCGAGGTTCGACTATCCGACGGACCCTCCTCTCCAGAACCCCCGAATAGACCTTACCAGGGAGGCTTAAGAGCGTGATTCCCCTGTAGTTGGAACACACTCTACGGTCCCCCTTTTTGAATAGGGGGACCACCACCCCGGTCTGCCAATCCAGGGGAACTTCCCCCGATGTCCACGCAACATTGCAGAGTCGCGTAAGCCAACACAACCCTACAACATCCAGAGCCTTAAGGAACTCTGGGCGGATCTCATCCACCCCCGGGGCCCTGCCACCGAGGAGCTTTTTAACCACCTCGGTGACCTCAGCACCAGAGATTGGAGGGCCCGACCCAGAGTCCCCAGGCTCCGCTTCCTCAGTGGAAGACGTGCCGGTGGGATTGAGGAGGTCTTCAAAGTATTCCGCCCACCGACCCACAACATCCCGAGTTGAGGTCAGCAGCAAACCACTCCCACTATAAACAGTGTTGGTGGCATACCGCTTCCCCCCCCTGAGACGCCGGATGGTGGACCAGAAACGTCTCGAAGCCATGCGGAAGTCGTTCTCCATGGCCTCTCCGAACTCCTCCCATGCCCGAGTTTTTGCCTCAGCAACCACCCGAGCCGCATGTCGCTTGGACTGCCGGTACCCATCAGCTGCTTCCGGGGTCCCACAGGCCAAAAAGGCCCGATAGGACTCCTTCTTCAGCCTGACAGCATCCCTCACCGACGGTGTCCACCATCGGGTTCGAGGGTTGCCGCCCCGACAGGCACCGACAACCTTGCGGCCGCAGCTCTGGTAAGCCGCCTCGACAATAGAGGCACGAAACATGGTCCACTCAGACTCAATGTCCCCCCACCTCCCTTGGAACATGTTCAAAGTTCTCCCGGAGGTGGGAGTTGAAACTCCGTCTCACAGGAGACTCTGCCAGACGTTCCCAGCAAACCCTCACAATACGTTTGGGCCTACCAGGTCTGACCGGCATCCTCCCCCACCATCGGAGCCAACTCACCACCAGGTAGTGATCAGTTGACAGCTCCGCCCCTCTCTTCACCCGAGTGTCCAAGATATGTGGCCGCAGATCAGATGAGACGATGACAAAGTCGATCATCGAACTGCGGCCTAGGGTGTCCTGGTGCCAAGAGCACATATGGACACCCTTATGCTTGAACAAGGTGTTCGTTATTGACAATCCATGACGAGCACAGAAGTCCAACAACAGAACACCACTCTGGTTCAGATCAGGGGGGCCGTTCCTCCCAACCACACCCCTCCAGGTCTCACTGTCATTGCCCACATGAGCATTGAAGTCCCCCAGCAGAACAAGGGAGTCCCCAGAAGGTGCACTTTCCAGTACCCCCTCTAAGGACTCCAGAAAGGGTGGATAATCTGAACTGCCGTATGGTGCATAAGCACAAACGACAGTCAGAACCCGTCCCCCCACACGTAGGCGGAGAGAGGCCACCCTCTCATTCACGGGGGTGAACCCCAATACACAGGCACCAAGTTGGGGGGCAATTAGTACGCCCACGCCTGCTCGGCGCCTCTCACCAGGGGCAACTCCAGAGTGGAAGAGTGTCCAGCCCCTCTCAAGGAAACTGGTTCCAGAGCCCGAGCCATGTGTAGAGGTGAGTCCGACTATTTCTAGCCGGAACCTCTCAGCCTCACACACCAGCTCAGGCTCCTTCCCCACCAGTGAGGTGACATTCCACGTCCCAATAGCCAGCTTCTGTAGCCGAGGATCAGACCGCCAGGGTCCCCGCCCTCGGCCACCACCCATCCCACATTGCACCCGACCCCTTTGGCCCCTCCCACAGGTGGTGAGCCCATGGGAAGGGGGACCCACGTCTCCTCTTCGGGCTGTGCCAGGCCGAGCTCCATGGGTAAAAGCCCGGCCACCAGGCGCTCGCCCACGTGCCCCACCTCCAGGCCTGGCTCCAGAGTGGGGCCCCGGTGACCCACGTCCGGGCAAGGGAACACTAGGTCCATTTGTGTTTTTCATCATAGGGGTGTGTTTGGGCTGCACTTTGTCTGGTCCCTCACCTAGGACCTGTCTGCCATGGGTGACCCTACTAGGGGCATAAAGCCCCTGACAGCATAGCTCCTAGGATCATTGGGACACTCAAACCCCTCCACCACGGTAAGGTGGCAGCCCAGGGAAATCCTACAATGTGATTTATTTTCTCCTAATTTTGTCTCTCACAGTTGAAGTGTACCTATGATGAAAATTACAGAACTCTCTCATATTTCTAAGTAGGAGAACTTGCACAATCAGTGGCTGATTAAATACTTTTTTGCCCCACTGTATATAAACCCACATGTTAAAGGACACGTCTCACTCTGAACATGATCTGTTTGAACTGTTACCGTCATAGAAAAGGTACAGATCAATCAAGATCAGCCTAAATACACAAATTTAAATAAAAAAAAATTAAAGATAATACATACAAATGATAACGTTTAGATAGATGCATAAATACAATGTCATAAGAGTGCAATAATATACAGAAAAAGAACTAAATGGATTTAATTTCATGTTGAAAGAACTTTCCATATTTTATTAGTTGACTACATTTATTACAGATAGAGGTAAAAATACAATTAAATACTTGGAACGTTTTTTCTTTGTTTACTATGAAAACTAACTACACTTTCTCGTTTTTTTTTATGTTTTTCAATCTTGTTGAAAGTATGTTTTCAATCAAACCCGGTAAACCTCCTCAAAACGACATTTCCCAGGAGGCGTTTTTATAGCTGTCTGTAATAATGCCTGAATGAAAACATTTTCAGCGGCGTTCAAACCATATTCTAAAGTATTTGACATAAAAGTTATTATTATAGCTATTAATGATTAAAAAATGTAAAATTAATTTCACATTATATATATTATTGTGTCTAATTTAGATTTTTTAAAAGGCTCTTCGTCACGAGCGTCATGATGCGGAAGAGCTCCGAGCTTTGATTGTCAAAAACAACAAGAAAACAGCTGATCAACTTCAACTTGTGACCGTAGTTTTTCCTTCTTTTCTTACAGATAAAATATAAATTATCCTCCTAATAAAGGACAGCTAGGTCACTGTTACCGCAGTATGTCGTCAGAGGAGTTCGAGAAGTTGCATGAAATCTACAAATCTCTGTTTGACGAGCTGAAGCTAATACCGGAGAGGGCGCTGAAATGTCACGGAGGTAAAAACTTCTTAACCGTGATGAAACTGAGCATTGATGTCTTCGTCCTGGTTGTTAAACCCGAGTCTGTGTGTGTCCCCTGCAGAGGAGAGGAGGAGGTTGGTGAGGATCTTTGATGAGAGGCAGGGGGAGGCTGAGGAGGTGGTAAGATCCAGCAACAGCTCATCTCAAACACGAACTTTGTTTTAGGACGTTCTCTGCTTACAGCGAGCTCTTGTTCTAAACCAACTCTGAAAATTAATTTGTAAATAAAACAGCGTCCAGGGATTTGTAAAACTCGTATTTCCAAACTGTATTCTAACTAAGGTTTTAGAAAAAGTGGTCAAACGCAAATCAAGAAGTATTTGGACTCTTAACATTTTATCTTCCCACCAGTCAGGCTTCAGAAACAACACAGCAGAAAGACTGCTTCGCTACAGGTTTTTAATGATGCTGGTGATGAAGGTTGAATGAATGAACGAAGCACAGGATGCTAAGGATTACTGTGCTGCACTTTACGTAGACCCGTCCAAAGCCTTTGATACTGTAGATCATGACATCTTGTGCCATAAACTCTCAGATATTTGTTTCTCAGATCACACTGTTGACTGGTTTTCAAACTATCTGTCAGGTCAGAACCATTGTGTTCAACGTAACGGTACTTCATCTTGCTACCTAACGGTCACTATTGGTGTTCCACAAGGTTCTGTTTTAGGACCCACTCTTTTTACAATTTATACAAGTAATGTAGGTGAAAACATTCCTGATGCATCCTTGTATCTCTATGCTGACGATACAGTTGTTTATTGTTGTATGTCTAGAACAGGTCTCTCTTGTAAATGAGCCCTCGTGACTCAACGAGACTAACCTGTATAAATAAAGTTTGAATGAAGTTTCATTCAAGTGGAGCATAGTTTTATCAAATGTTTACACAAGCAAAGAGCACTTGGGAGAAGATTTGAAGGATGTTGGAAATGCAGCTGCCAGGAAAAAGACAAAGAGGACATATATGATGCAGTTGGAGAGGACGTGGTAGTTGGAGTGAGGACAGAGTGAAGACAGAGGACAGAGTGAGACGGAGGAGGGCTCGCTGTGGGAACAGCTGAAAGTAGAATAAAGGAAGTACCGTAGCTGATTTTGTGTCCCTGTTTTTAGTTGTTATTTTTCAGTCGGGTCGACCCGTTCAGTGATAGTTAAGTGGACTGAGCAGAGAGGCCTCCAGCTGTTAGTGCTTGTCTTTTTGACATGTCCATTTTGTCCCCAGCATCATGCAGTGTTCTGTGTCCAGTTGCAGGGAATGGAAGAGGAGCTCCGCGTCGCCCCCCCTGCCTACAAGAACTCCATGAGCACAAAGCTGCGTATTTACCGCAGAGACCTGGGCAAGCTGCAGAGAGAGATGAAGAGCGCTGCGTCCAGGTTCGACTCGTCCTCCCAGAGCCTGCCAGGAGGACATCATGGCGTCTATTCATCCCAGAATGAGCAGAGCGTGAGTGAGGGGCAACCAGAGCTCAAGGTCCTGACCAGTCCAGGCTGGATCTTTGGGTTGAGTGTTCTTCAGGTGTCGATTAGTTTAAACCCCATCTTTAATCCTGGTACCACTGGTCTTTAATCCTGGTACCATCCATCCATTTTCTTTTACCCGCTTATTCCTTTTTGGGTCACGGGGGTCGCTGGTGCCCATGTCCAGCAATCACTGTGCGAGGGGCGGGGTACACCCTGGACGGGTCGCAAGTCCATCACAGGGACACATAGAGACAAACGAGACAAACAACCATTCACTCTCTCACTCACACCTAGGGACAATTTAGAGTTACCAATCAGTCTAACATGCATGTTTTTGGACTGTGGGAGGAAACCGGAGTACCCGGAGAAAACCCACGCATGCACGGAGAGAACATGCAAACTCCACCCAGAAAGGCCCCTGGACCGGGGTTTGAACCAAGGACCTGCTCACTGAGAGGCAGCAGCTCTACCAGTTGCGCCACCGTGCTGCCCTAATCCTGGTACCACTTGTTTTTAATCCTGGTACCACTGCTCTTTAAACCTGGTACCACTTGTTTTTAATCCTGGTACCTCTGGTCTTTAATCCTGGTACCATTTGTCTTTATTTAATCCTGGTACCTCTGGTTTTTAATCCTGGTACCACTGGTCTTTAATCCTGGTACCACTTGTTTTTAATCCTGGTACCTCTGGTCTTTAATCCTGGTACCTCTGGTCTTTAATCCTGGTACCATTTGTCTTTATTTAATCCTGGTACCTCTGGTTTTTAATCCTGGTATTACTGGTTTTTAATCCTGGTACCACTGGTTTTTAATCCTGGTATCACTGGTCTTTAATCCTGGTACCACTGGTCTTTAATCCTGGTACCACTGGTCTTTAACCCTGGTACCACTGGTCTTTAACCCTGGTACCACTGGTCTTTAATCCGGGTACCACTATTTTTTAATCCTGGTACCTCTGGTTTTTAATCCTGGTACCATTTGTCTTTATTTAATCCTGGTAACTCTGGT